AGTGCACAAATTTTTGTGCACCGGGCCTCTAGTTTTTAATAAAACAAAAAGAGCATACTGAGCCCAAAGTAAGTAGAAGTTAAATATTAAAGATCAGAATGGAAATCTATAAAATAGAAAACAGAAAAATAGGGGGGGAAAAATCAATGACAAATTGATTGTAGTGATGGTTGCACACTACTCTATGAACATACTATAAAAAACAAGGACACAGCCCAGCCAACATGGCTCAGTCGTTGAGAGTCAACCTAAGAACCTGGAGATCATGGTTCGATTCCCGGTCAGGGCACATGGCTGGGTTGCGGGCTTGATCCCCAGTGTGAGGTGTGCAGGAGGCAGTCAATCAATGATCCTCTCTCATCACTGATGTTTCTATCTCTCTCCCTGTCTCCCTTCCTCTCTGAAATGAATAAAATATTTTTTAAAAAAGCAGGAAATGTACACTTTATAAGTAGGTGAATTCTATGTGTGAATTATGTCTAAATATAGCTATGACTTCAAAAAAAGATCATTTTCAAGGATTTGACTCTTTTTTTTGAAGTTTAAACGTGAGCATAAGACTTTATTGTGAATTGAGGGGAATTAATACAGCCTCCAGGATGTAGAGGGTGGGCAAGCTCTAAAGCACTGCCCACGGATTTGTGACCTCTTAAAGGATGCCTCTTTTGTTCTGATCAAATAGACTATTCTACAGATTTAGTAACCACCAGTTTAAATGTCAATCATCTTTTAAAATCAGACAGACAACTCAAAGAATTCCTGTATAATATAGAGCAGTACATTCTTCTCTCCTACTGGTTTATTTACCAGCCAGACCCATATGTTACATTAAATACTGTCATAAAAAGATCGTTATATATCTGGGCAATAAAATTCTAGTTGGAAAAAAAAATTCTATGTTAGCTTAAGTTCCAAGAGATTATTTTTTTAAAAGTGTAGCACATCATTAATTTCACATTCACCATGATGAATTAGCCCATTTCACCAAAAGTAAACCAAGGGATATACAGCATTTAGGTAATTCCTCCAAACCCCTCAGGCTCTTAATACACTGTACCACCATTCTGCAAAGAAGCTTTTTTCTAATATTTTCTCTTACCTGGTCTCAAAGGTGTCACAATAGCTTGCGGAGGATTTGCTTTTCTCATAGGAGTCATGTCAGGAAACCTATTCTCCAAATTGGCCTTCTCTTCTGTGAAACGATAAGAGTGTCATTATCTAAACAAGCAAAATAAGTCAGTGCCATGCACTTAAAATGGGGCCTAAAGCCCCCAACCAGTACACTTCTAACTCATTGGACAAGTACAAGCAAAGTTCTAGTGGTTAAAAAAAATGAGTACACATTATACGTGAGAGATAGAGACTGTAAAAACTATCACTAAAACACTGGCAACAGTGAACAATGTATTTTAGAAAAGAAGTACAGACTCTGCACTGTGAAAAGCTCCTTGTCTTTGCTTGATTCAGTTAGGACCATACAAGCATGAACTGGCCTTATCTACCACCTAAATACATCATGTTCCTTCTGAAGAAAACTGTAGCCACCAAGCTCTGCAGGGTTCACAAGAGACATCTTATAGTCTGAGTTGAGGTTATTCCTTAACTAAGAATAGTGAGAGGGGAGTATGGGGTATGTGAGAAATGAAGAGAACTTTCTCATATACCCCATATCCCAGAGGAAGAGGCTTTATGCAGTAATCTTGTCTTAGGTTCTGCTGTGCCTAACAGTCAGCACAAGGCAGTGAAACACCTGTTCTACCCTAGCCTACTGACAGAAGTATCAAGATTGTGGTGAGAATGCCCTAGCCAGTTTGGCTGAGTGGAGAAAGTGCCGGCCTGCAGACTGAAGGGTCCCAGGTTCGATTCCAGTCAAGGGCACATGCCCAGGTTGTGGGTTCAATCCCCAGGAAGGGTGCGCAGGAAGCAGCCAATCAATGGTTCTCTCTCATCACTGATGTTTCTATCTCTCTCTCTCCCTTTCCCTTCTGCTCTGAAATCAATAAAAATATATTTTAAAAATAATTTTTAAAAAAGATTGTGGTAAGCCCCAGCAAAAAACATGGTGCACGTAAACTGATTGCAACTGTGTAAAACAGGGGTCCTCAAACTACGGCCCGCCGAAAACATTTATCCGGCCCGCCGGGTGTTTTTGCCGCCGGTGCCTGTCCTGCTTAGCAGCCGATTCGTCCCGGGCCCGCAGTGCGCACGTGTGGAATGTCTGAGGGACAGTGAACTGGCCCCCTGTTTAAAAAGTTTGAGGACCTCTGGTGTAAAAAGATGTGATTACTTGGAAGAAATTAGAAAGCAACAGATAAGAACTAAAGTTTTGAAAAAACAGTGGGATTAATTTTTTCTTCCCAACTATCCTATATAATAAAAGGCTAATATGCAAATCGACCAAACAGCGGAACAACCATCGCTATGACGTGCACTGACCACCAAGGGGCAGATGCTCAACACAGGAGCTGCACCCTGATAGTCAGTGCGCTCCCACTTGGGGAGCGCCACTCAGCCAGAAGCCCAGAGCCGGGCTCACGACTGGCGAGCGCAGCGGCGGTAGCGGGAGCCTTTCCCGCCTCCGCAGCAGCACTAAGAATGTCCGACTGACAGCTTAGGACATCCCCCGAGGGCTCTCGGACTGCAAGAGGGTGCAGGCCAGGCTGAGGGACCACCGCCCGCCCTCCTGCAAATGCATAAATTTCCTTTTTTTGATTTAAAGAAAAACTGAAAAAGAGGTAACAGACAATCCAACCATTTCCTCAGAATTTCCATAGAGCAAGGGCATGGAAAGACCCCTGTTGGGCAGTTGGCACTCTTGTCTATCTTTCTTCCCATATCACTTCCAAGAAACCTCTCCTCTTGGGATCCGGATTGGACACCATTAAAGTCCTTTTCCAGGAGAATGGCTTATGCCCTTACATTTGGACTCTGCATTACCAGTGCTAAGTACAGCTTCAATGGACTCATTTTCCTATCAACATTGATTTCTCTTAAGGAGTAAAAAGGACATGCGAAAGAATAAAATGAAGGGGCCCCAGCAACTATCACTGGTCTCATATATTACTCCAAAGTAATATAAAGATATAATCATCCTTATTTATTGTTGGCCTGGTTCAGGGTTTGTGCCACATCACATAACCCAACATCAGGCAATCCTATCTCTGTTTAGGGACTGGGTTCTGAGTAGCATAATCCTTCCCATTTAAAAACAAATTGGAAATTGGGGAGGGTTAGCAAGAAGGAGACAAATATAGTTATAAAAGGGCATCACAAGGCTCCTTGTGATGTTATAACTGTTCAGTATCTTGACTGTGGTGATAGATCCACAAACCTACACAAGCGATAAAATTGCATAGAACTTAATACACATAAACAAAAGTGAGTATAAGTGAAATGGGAAATCTGAGCAAGATTGTGGATTTTATCAATGTCAATATCATAGTTGTAATATTATACTCTATGCCCAGTGACAAGTAGAGCAAATTTTTAGGTGGCTGCCATCACTATAGACATGGTTTTGAGTCCTAGAGTTTCACTCAACTTTGCTTCATCATATTTTAAGAAAATATGGATTTCTGGATTTTCCCATATATTCCTAAAGTTTAAATTATTTGTCAATCTTAACTGCAAAATAACGTTGTCTTATACTGATAGTTCATTCCCAAAATACTGGGCACTTCAATTATTTCTCTCCTATCATGGATGACAAAGTATCTTGATTCAGATAGGAATTTACATTTTAGTTATTTTCTTTCAACCCCTTCTTTTTTTAAGATCCTCAGAACAAAGCAAGCCACTTAACCCTTAAAATGGCAGAGAAAGCAGACACTTACCAAACCAAGAATCTATGTTTTGGGGGTCTTCCTCCTCATCCAAAGATGTAAAATTGATGAAGTCCGTGGGAGCATCATAGGAGTAAGACATTGTCCCCACCTTGGCACAGAAGAGCAGGTTTTTCCAATATTAGTGTCACTTTTCTCAACAGGTCAACTTGTAAGTAAACAAAGTTTCAAAAACTTCACTGCACATGTCTTACTTTTCAAATCAAATCAAGTTATTTTTGGTAACTTGAAAATACTCCTTGAGGTAAATATGGTGGAATTAGAAAATGGCCAAGTTTGAGTACCTACAACATGCCATCCACTGTGCTAGTTGTTTTACATTCATTATTTTATTTTCCCCTCAATCTACTGTCTTCTCACCCAATTTACTCTCTCTGCCCTGAATAACCCAATCCAATTTTCTCTCTCTCTGTCCCACAAAACCCAATTTCTGAAATGCACACATTAAATTTCATACCTACTGACCAAAATCTTCCTCATCATTCAAAGTCCAATTCAATTCTCTACAAATTATTTCCCAATTTCTACCCATCATACATAATTGTTGCTTCTCCAATGCCACAGTGCTTCGTTTACCCTCCAATTTTATATTAATAACCTACACAAATGTCTCTCCTAGTAGACTGTAAGTTCCTGAAGACAAGGATGGATTTTACTCATTTGTGTATGCTTCATCCATCAAGGTGCTTAGAACAGTATCTTATACATAGTAAGAGCTCAATACAGTTTTGCCAAGTTTAGGTTTTCTTTCCTTATTTCCATAAAAATATTGTTCCTGGGCATGAAGAAAAAAGACTTAAAAAATATATAAGCCTTGGCCAGGTAGTTCAGGTGGTTGAAGCATCATCCAACAAAAGGTTGCAGGTTCAATTCTTGGTCAGGGCACATACCTAGGTTGCCGGTTCAATCCCCAGTCAGGGCCTGTACAGGAGGCAACAGATTGATGTTTCCCTCTCCCAGTGATGTTTCCCTGTCTCTCTCTCTTCCTCCCTAAAATCAATAAACAAATCCTCGAATGGGAATTTAAAATATATAGGAGATTAAAAATGGTGGTGGAGTAAGTAACACTGACACACTCCCAGGACCAAACTGGAATTACAACTAAAATAGTATCTGGGATCTAAACACCATGCTGGGCTCCCCAGCAGAGAGCACCAGAACTGAGAAAGTTGCTGGCATAACATCTGGCTGTGAAAAGCAGCAGGGCTGTTCTCTACCAGGGACAGATGGCTGGAAATTCAGGCACCCTCTTAAAAGGCCAATGCACAATTCACCTTGGGCTCCAGCTGAGGGAGGGCAGAGTGGGCTGGAGCTGTGTAAGCAGAAGCCAGGGTTGGGGGCTCTGGGATTAGAGCTCAGAAAGCAGACATCCCGGGTTCCTGTGCTGAGTCATTCCCTCACACGGTGGAGGACATCTTTTCCAGGCAGACCTTTGCTATCCAGGCAGTATTTGCCTGGAGGGGTGGCAGTTGCCCCATCCTATTGGAAAACCCCCTACACCACCCTGTGGAGTTTCTGAGGCCATTAAGAGACTGAGAATAGCAATTAGCCTCCAGGCAGAATCAATTGCCCCACTATGTTGGAAAACCTCTCACCCCACCTGTGGATGATTTCCTGAGGTTACTCAAGACTGAATCCAATCAGTCTGCAGGCAGAGGCGGGTTTCTGGAGGCTTTGAGTCTTTGCCTGATCCAATTAATCAGAAACATCATTTGACACTGTCCTGCACTAGAGACTGGGAGGTATAGCAGATCTACCTAATACACAGTCACAAACCCAAACAGGCAGCCAAAATGGGGAGACCAAAAAAAAAAAAAAAAACAAGCCTGAAATGAAAGAACAACAGAATTCTCCAAAGGAAGAGCTAAATGAAATGGAGGTAATAAATTTACCAGGCACAAAGTTCAGAATAATGATGGCAAAGAGGCTCAACAGCATGAGAAAGATAACTCTGAAGAATGACATAGCACTAATAAAGAACACAGATGTATTTGGGAAAGCTAAGGATCAGATCACTGAATTAGAAGACAGGATAGAAAAATAATCACTCAATCACAGAGCCAAAAAGAAATAATTTAAAAACAGGAGGACGGCTTAAGGGAGCTATGGGACAACATGAAATGTAATAAGTGTGCCCAAGAAGAAAGTGAGCAAGGGATAGAGGATATGTTTGAAAAAATAATGGCAGACTTCCCTAACCTCATGAAGGAAAAAGTCACTCAAGTACTGTAGGTAGCGGATATAGGGTTAAGCCTCGGACTGACCTGTTGGCAAAGCCACAAACAAGTCCCAGCTTAGAGGGCACAGCCCTCTTAGCATAATCAGGCTTGACCTTATGATGCTCCCTAGATCTTATCTGGGTGGCTAATGGGTTGAGGAAAATGTAGCAAGTGCTGCCAAAACAAGTGAAACTCACAAGAACATTGTAGCTATGGTGACCACTACCTTGTTTACCTCTGGCTATAAAATAAAGGCTCAGCTTGCTGTTTGGATCTCTCTCGGTGGCCTCAGCCAGGCACAGGAAGATCCACCTAGACCCAGCTTATTCTCTTTGTCTGTCATTTCTACATCCTTCGCCACCCCGCCTCAGACTCCCCGAACCCTTGGCTGAGCTGACTCAGCACATGTGGCACCCAACGTGGGGCCTGAGTTCAGGGGAACTGCAGTTGTAAGGTGAAAGGACGCTCCAGTGAAGCACGTGCAGAAAGTAAAAAGGAAGGTAAGGAGCGAAGTTTAGTAATAACTAGGTGTAAAACATGGGAAATTCAGGATCGTATATACGTATCCATGCTTAAGGCTATGCTCCAAGCACAGGGCTGTTCTGTGAAGTATCAACAGCTTTTCGATTTGTTGGATTTTGTAAGTAAAACCTGCCCATGATTTTCTGAGGAAGGAAAGGTAAATGTAGAGACATGGGAGAAGGTAGGAAAACCACTTAGAGATCGTTATACAGTGGAAGTTTACCAGGGGCTTAATATTGTCGCAAAGGCTTGTCTCTCATCCAGAGACTACTTATTATGGAAGTATTATATTCGTGTTTGTGCTGACACTGGACCAGCCTATGTTCAAGGAGCAGTATTAGCTGCCTCATTAAAGGAGATGTTACTCGCTGGTCAGCAGAAAAAGAAAGGAGGCTGCTTTAACTGTGGCAACCAATGCCCCCTAGGCAGGAAAACTTCAAGTGGGGCCAGCCCCGGTCCCACCAAACAGTAGGGGCCTTATCCTTAACCCCACTGCAGCCTTTCCAGCTGGCTCATCATGCCACCCCAGGAAGCACAGGATTGGCAAGTTCTTCCTGGGGTGATGGATCAGGAATCAGGCAACAGTGGAAAGCGCCAATCCTACTCTTAAAATGCAACTATAAAAACAAAAAAGAAGGTGGAGAAGAATGTTATGCGTTAAACTTTTTGAATTACAATGCAGAGAGCTGTATAGCAGCCGAAAGGCATCAGGCCTCCTGTACAATAGCCTCTGCTGGGTTAGCCTGGTGGAAGGATGCACAAACCAGACAAGAGTTTTACCAGAATCAGTAATGATGTGGGGAAGAGGTTGTGTTTTGTATCTTTCCAGAAGGAGCAGTGCAGCCAATTTGGGTACCAGAGCATTACGTGC